GTCGCAGCGCAATGGCAGTCGGTCTTTCTGGACGCTGGCCAAGCAGATTGAAAAGAACTTCTCACACAGTAGCCTTCCACCACTTACGTGTCAGGATGGAACTATTGTATTCGACTCAAAGGCCAAGGCGGAAGTGCTAGCCAAGATCTTTGCTGCCAACTCCACCATGGACGTCCCCACCAACGCCCAAGTGCCGTCAATTCAAAGGGTTCCCCACACTATGCGGGAAGTAACATTCAGGCATAAGACCGTAAGACGAGTGCTCTTGTCGCTCGACATCAACAAAGCTTCTGGTCCGGACTTGATTCCTGCTATTGTACTGAAGAGATGTGCAGCGGAGCTTGCTCCAGTTCTTTCGCGTCTCTTCCAGATATCTTATGAATCCGGCACCTTCCCAGAAAACTGGAAATTTGCTCATGTACAGCCCATCCCAAAAAAAGGATCTAAAACCGACCCTTACAACTACAGGCCTATAGCTCTGCTTTCTGTTATAAGTAAAGTGATGGAGAGGTGCATAAATCGTGAGCTTCTGGACTATCTCGAACGTCACAGCTTGATTAGCGACAGGCAGTACGGTTTCCGGCACCAACGATCCACAGGGGACCTCCTAGCTTACGTCACGCAACTGTGGAGTAAACTCATCCAGTCTCATGGTGAGGCTCATGTCGTTGCTCTTGACATCACGAAAGCGTTCGATCAGCTGTGGCACGCTGCCCTCTTAAGCAAACTTCCATCCTACGGCCTCCCAGAAAATCTTTGCAGATGGGTGGCTGACTTTATCTCTGGCCGCAAGATATCCGTCGTAATTGATGGATTCTCCTCTTCATCCCACAACGTCAACGCGGGTGTTCCCCAGGGATCGGTCTTGGCTCCAACACTGTTTCTCTTACATATCAACGACCTCCTTTCCTGCACGATCAACCCAATCCACAGCTTCGCTGATGACAGCACTCTACATGCAGGAATTCAGAGTGACAAGCCGATCTCTGCCGCTGAGCTGGAAAAAAGAAGACTAGCGACGACTTCTTCTCTGACAAGAGACCTGGAGGCTATCACTGCTTGGGGACGCAACAATCTTGTACAGTTCAATGCTTCCAAAACACAGTACTGTACCTTGACGAACAAAAAGCGTCCTAGCGCTCATACAGTTTCGATGGACGGTCGAGTTCTACCAAAGAGCCATTCATTTCGGCTGGTCGGAGTCCAGATCACCGAGGACCTGATCTGGCACGAACACATCTCTTCAATGGCTGCAGCTGCTGGGAAAAAGCTAGGCTATTTGTTTAGGGCTAAGAAGTACTTTTCTCCGCATGAGCTTCTCACTCTATACAAGGCCCAGATAAGGCCTAGCCTCGAGTATTGCTCACACATTTGGGGTGCTGCCGCCCCGACTACATTGTCCATGCTCGATGCTGTCCAGAGGAGGGCGGTCCGACTGATCGATGACTCTTCTCTAACAGACAGTCTCGGGACTCTTTCGCACCGGCGGGCCGTCGGCGATCTAGCTCTTTTCTATCGCTACACCAACGGGCTTTGCTCCTCAGAGCTCTCTTCCATGATGCCGCCGCGCGTTGCGCCTGCCAGACAGACCCGCCTGACTTCGGCATCCCATCCTAACCGTGTCAAACTTCGTACATCCAGAACTGGCCGATACGACCGCTCCTTTGTCCCGAGGGTGTCTAGATTGTGGAACAATCTACGGGAGGAAGCTCTTCCCAGTTCTACTAACCTTAGGCAGTTCAAAAATCGTATTAACAAAATTTCTTTGGGATCATCATAGCAGCCGCGGTGTTACGGCATTTAGGCTTCTGTCTGCGCGGCTGTTTCGATATATGAAAAAAAAAAAAAAAAAATTAAAGGCATCAGAAAGGACCTTATTTTTACGTCAGACCTTATCTCCACAGTTAAAAGAAACGCAGATTGTACCTGTTGCATTCCGCGTTCTCGTAGATTTCATTCTGTCCTTAACTTCTTGGTACAATTTCAAGAAACCCTCCTGACGATTTCTAACATAAGAATTCACATCAATTTTTTGTGATGGTAACTTGACTAGATGATCAGTTCCATATAGTTTGTGTTCTCTGCCAAACAAAATAAAATATGGACTATACTTGGTGGTTTCACTAGGCGCGGTTCTGATATCACAACCAATCTCATTAAGATGTTCATCCCAGGTCCTATGATTTTCCTGGCGGACATAAGTACGTAACATGGTCTTAATTACTCGATTATGATGCTCAGTGAGATTAGCACGAGGATTGTAATTGGCAGTATAAAATATTCGGGTACTATACTTTTTACACAATGCTTGAAATTCCTTAGATTTCATCTGAACTCCATTGTCGCAAGTTAGAAACATGGGTGCTCCGTAAAGAAGAAAGAAACTCTCAACAATTTCAACTAAGGATTTAGCTTTAGCTGACCGACAAGGGAAAAAGTAAACTGATTTACTGAAGTAGTCTGAAATAACAAGGATATAGCAAAAACCTTTCTTTGAACGTGGTAAAGGTTCAATATAGTCAAGACTTAAGGCCTGAAATGGTTCTGTTATGTCCGGACGTTTGCCCATTAAACCGGCTGGTGACTTCTGCTCTACTTTATTCTAAGCACAACAATAACAATGTTTCACATAATTTACAACATCAGCCTTCATCTTAGGCCAGTAATAAGTTTGCTGAATTTTACCGAAAGTTTTAAAGACACCCATATAACCAGATGTTGGAACATCATGCTAGCGCTGAAGAATGATTTTTCTTTTGTCCTTCCAATCATCCGAAGGAGAAGAAAGATTCGGGATTGAAAGTTTAACAAACTTATAAAGTATGCCGTTCTGCGTACGCCACAGAGGAAATTTTAATGGGTTCTCTTCAACATTCTGGAGCATTTTTAAATACCATTTATCATTGATAGTCGTCGGAGAAAAAGATGGTGGGTCAAAACAAAACACTGAATCAATAGGCACGGGTACGGCTCGAGAGAGAAAGTCAGGAACTATGTGATCTTTTCCTTTACGATGGATTAGTTCAAAATCGAGCTGCTGAAGACGTAATTGCCAACGGGCAAGGCGGCCCTGGGGGATCATTTAATCTATGAAGCCATAACAACGAAGCATGGTCTGTAATTACCTTGAAATGTACACAATCTAAATAATGTCTCAGCTTTTCGACCGACCAAATAACGGTAAAGCACTCGTTTTCCGTAACTGACAGTTTCAGTTCCTGTCTGGTTAAGGATCTAGAAAGGTAACATATCACCTTTTCACCTTCCTCGAATTGTTGGGTTAAAACTGTTCCTAAACCATAGTTTGACGCATCGGTTTGTAAGTAAAATGTTCTACCGAAATCAGGGGCAGAAAAAATAGGGGCGGTCACAGACGTTCTTTAAGTTCAGTATCTAAATTTGTTTGTTTTTCTCTTTGTTTGATCGAATCCTGGTGCCTTGAGTACCTTTCAGTCTGGTAGAATTATATCTTACCTCCATATAAGGGTGGAAATATGGGTTACAATTCTTGTTATTGTTCTGTCCACTATCGGTTGGTCATGTCTGGCTTGGTGTACGGAGAGATGTTAGTTTCGGAATGAGATTGGTACATGAGGTTATCCTCGGGTCCAATAAGGATGACGCAGTGCCAATTTATCTGGTCGGTCAACATCAGTAGATCATTTTCCATTTCGAAAGCATTTCCAGTGTACCCATTGCTCTTCACTTGCTCCTTCTTGGCGTGATCATCTGATTTCGTTTACTTAAGTTTAGAATAAATGATGGCTTCCTAGTTCATCATGTCAACAGTATATTTAATGACTTCTTTTGACTTTGTCTGGAGACGCCACTGGATTTTTAGCGTATCAAATTATTTAACTAATGAAACCAATATGAGAAACTGTTATAGATGGTGCTTTGTCGAAGATCAAAGGTAACAAAGTAAGGTTCATTTCAACAAAATCTTGACACAAAATTTATTGGCTTGAATTTAAACAAACACAAAATAAGATCAAGTTGTTGTAGTTTTAGATATTTGGATATTATTTGAAATTTAAAAAAAAATCTATTTTATTGAATGATGTATATTCTGCAAATCTTATAGATATCAAAAAAGCTGAGAAAACTCGATATTGTTAGTTGATACTTTCGAATCAAGATAAAAACTTCCGAATTTTATAACCCTACCGAAATTCGATATTTTTTATTCTCATTGATGGTGATTAAGTTTCATTTGTTCAGAGACAGGTTATAATATACCATTATTCACTAGAAGAGATTCTTTGTTTTAAATTCAGAAAGTAGGGAAAGGGAAACCTAAAATTGAATAAGGCCACTTGATTATGTGTACAAAAATTGTACATGTATTTCTAACAATAAAACAATATTGCAATTACCCGCATTCAACGCATTTACATATATAAATAAATTAGACATCACTTTAAACAAACTAGGATATTTTTAAGTACTACAAAGCTTACAACAACAGAACGCTCCGCTTTCTATATGTACGTTATACAATATAAAATAAAAGCACATAAAGCCTATGTTAAGCCCCCGATCATTCACGAATGCTTCTCGATTTAAATAAACAGTTTAACAGTTTTTATCGATGTTTTTAATAGTTTTAAATGTAACTTTTCTACATAAACTAAATCACCTAAATTATTTAAACATCTTAATGAAACAGGTACATGGTTTGCTATTTTCAAGAAAATTAGTTTGATAGTATATTATTTTCAATTAAACCCGTTCCAGAAAATTCAGTTTAATTAATGCCAATAATTTAGATACTACTAGAATAATAAAAACATTCTTTACGGGTAATAAAATTTTTACAGACCATTAGTTTACTTTCATAGGTCATAGCAATCCCTCGGGTTGTTAAGGATCGACGTTACTAGCATACCCGCCGCTGCTCACAAGAAAACAACAATATGTAGTACCACCACCGATTTCCAAAGTTCTCAAGAAACCAAAAACCATTGTACCAGAAGCGAGACCAGTACAAGTAAACTTATTTACAATTCATCTTTTTTACTAATAAGCATATTATATTCTAAAAAGCCTAAGCTATCCCAGAACTTCTTTGTATGGAAGTATGTTTCTACACGTTTCTGGATATCATCTGGACCATTGATATCGTAATACACAAAGTTCTTTTTCACTGGTTCCCATTTAGTGTTTTTGATGCTGAGTACTCTAAAACAGACGTAATTGTGGATATATTTTGAAGTACATAAGATATGCTTATTTTGTAAAATGGCACAGTACAATTCGGCTAAATTTGACGTCGGTCTGGATTTTAGTTACATAAAAATATATAAATTTACAATATTATCCTATCCTTTGCTAGCGTAAGCATAGAGGCTATCCATACAGTCATCTTTGACTTTTATGTCTCCGTCTGAAAGTGGTTTGGTTACGGCTGCTCATCACCATGAAATGCGCCTGAAAAAAATCCTAGTATTTACACTGTCTCACCTACCGGGCGACCCAAAACAACATGTCAATCTCTCGTATGCATATAGAACACAGAAAAAATGCTACAAGTTTGTATATGAAATGATCGTTGCTCCCCTTCGGGGATACAGGCCCCTAAGGCCCGGTTGTACTTAACCGTGGGTTACAAATTCAAGCAATGGGAAGGCGTATTTCTCTCAAACAAATAATTATACTCAGTGACATTAGAAATGTTACACCCAGAAAAAAAAATTATTCAACTTGATTGTTTGGCAATGAGGTAGTCATCGAGAATGAAACGACAGTGGTCCGCAGTCACAGGAAACACTAACCGTAGACGGTATGAAAAAAGTCCAAAGGCTCGAATGCGGCGATAGAGTGTACGCATAGTAACAGGCTTTTTTGTCCAAACCAATGGTCAGCGATCTGACGTCTAGTAGCAAAACGGTCTCGTAGGGCTGGTTGTCTGAAGCACCTACCGTCATTTCAGTACAATCAACACGGCGGCCAATTTCGCGATAGGACAAGCCGACATCTCGATAGGCAATAATTCTACCCCTGTCAAAGTCGCTAACATGGTGATAATTTGGACGTCTTCGAACTCGAGGCGTTTTGTTATGCTTACCACTAGTAAATGAAATGGCAATAACTCAAAATATCTGTACTGCCTTTTATTGAAAATAATAGCATCACTGTTGCTGTAGAAAATTCTGCTTGATAATGTTCATTATTTAACCAGCATCCAGTAATATTCTATTTACGTGACTACCGTGCAAAAAATCCTTCGGCCAGCCCTGTTAACAGCGAGCTCTCGCGCCCTCTACTGGACAGTGGGACGACCACGTCACCGCGGCGCAACATAGTTGCGTAGTTTTTCCACTGTCCGGTAGAGGGCGCGACATCTCCCTGTTAACAGTAACAGACGTTTTTTTCAGGAACTTTTGTCATAATTTTTTCTGTCCTATATGCATATAAGAGATTAAGATATTATTCCAGAGTGTACCTATACTAAAGCTACCAGTTAAAAGGTTAGTTAAGTTGGTTATTTATCTTCTGGATTCGATTTATTCACCACACGAAAAGTGGAAGACTAATGAGCAGGTCAACCAAAGAGTGAATTTCAGGGCTTACGTTAATTTTTGTACCTTGTAGCAATAGTCTTACCTTTAACCTCCTTTGGCTGCATTAGCAATGATTTTATACTGTTCACACCTTCATAATTGAAATGTATCAGCCTCCGACATTTTACTTACTATACCAAATATGCAGCTTTCAGGTGGCAGCCTGGAGAAACGCATGGTATGGGATTGGAGGCTAAATGTATGGGCCTGTATGACTGTCTTGATCCACTGAATATAGTTGATAGTTAACCTCTTTCTACGAGTGGCTAACTTAAGCCAAGTACATAACCTTTTCCGAACTGATGACGCTGTGTGGAAAGCACAGAGTCAACCTACTTGACGCCATTTGTTTGTGATGTACAATTGTACGTCATGTCATACCCAAAAAATGGCGTCAAGTAGGTTGAAATCCTCCGAGAAAAAATTAGTTACGAACATGTACAGTAGAAAGATTAGACCGATCAAGTCAGTCAAACAGTCCCATAAAATTAGTTTTAAAGGCAAATGTATTGAGAAATATAACTAATAGGTGCATATACGAGGGTTGTCTCAAAAATAGGTTTCCTACATTTTTTTCAGGCACTAGGAATTTTTGATTTAAAAAACGACTTTATCATTGGAAACGTTGATCTTTCAGCTAATTTTCTACATAGTCGCCATTTTCCAATACATAAGCTTTTTGTACGAAGCTGCGACCACTACGGCGGCTTTTTCCAGTACAATCACAATAATAAAAAGGGATTTAAGCATATATGTGGTTAGATTGGATGGGGTTCTAAGATCACCTACTTGCACTGAGCACCAACCCATCATCTTTGGTGACCGCAACAATCCAAGGCACGTCATATAATTTTCCTTGTTTGAGAAGATTGTAAGGGTGGCCGGCAAGGAAAGGTTTCTTGCCTCTCTTCTCTATGACAGGAGAGAAAAGACAAGATGGAAGTTGTTCGAAAGAATACAAAGACCGACCCGTTTTGTCCACTAATAGGAACGCGGGACGAGTTTTTAAGCATTTCACCATCTTTTCAGTGTCCTTGAAATCGCAGCCTACGTTCTCAGCTAGGCGTTTGGCTGCCTTCAATAGCTCTTCTTGTAGCGCCCATCTGCCTAGAGCTGTTCCGCTGGCCGACCATCCTCTAGAAATACAGAAGAATTTTTTGTACATTGATAAAAACAGTGTCGATTTCGGAAAGGTCATAGTACGGCAAGTGCCCTCCTCGATCTTACTGATAATATCGTCAGAGCGTGGGATCACCATTTAGTTACACCATTAATTCTCTTGGTCTTTACAAAGGCGTTCGATACAGTAAATGACTGTCTTTTGATTGCTAAATTATGGTTTCGATGATTCCTCACTGAGTTTAATACACAGCTTTCTGATAAACAGATCCCAAAAGGTAGTCGTTGATTCAGAATTTTCTTCAGAACGTCTGATTTCCTCAGGAGTGCCTCATGGATCAGTTCTTGGACCACTTCTCTTTATTTTATATGTATAGCAGATATAAACAGGGCTGTGAAATTATGTAGTATTCAGTCTTTTGTTGACGACTCACAATCATAACGTAGCTTCAATCATGAAAATTTAGAAATTTCGAAAGCACATATAATGGAGGATCTAAGTTCTATTGAAAATTATGCAACATAACATAGTCTCCGGTTGAATTCTTCTAAATACAAACTTATTTTTTTTTCCTAAAAATCTAAGGTATCTGTTGTTACTTAAATAAAGAAATACATGATTTTAGATCCAAAAAAATTGTATGTGAATCTTTAATTATATCAAAAATCACATATTGTGCTTTAGTCTACTATGCATTCCTAGACTCGGTTTCAGCTAAATGTCTACAAAAAATTCTAAATTCATGTTCACTTGAGCTGGAAAAATTCTCTTCTATAGATTTTGTTTCCGATTGTCGATATATCCCGTGGACATATAAGTACCACTTTTTTTAGTCTCAAAATAAGTCGATTGATCATGAGTTACATCTTCGCAAAAGTGCTTCGTTTGTCCGCTAGAGGGCGTTGAATCTTTTTAAACACATTTTTTTCAGATATTTGTGGAACCGATAGTTCGATTTGAATGAAATTTGGCACACATGTTTTTTCCTGGACGTCCATTATTTGACATTTACAAAAAACTGGAAAGGGTTCGAGAGGGGTGGAAACTACCCTAACCCCCATATAAATTAAATCAGAATTTTTTACCGGCCAGACAGACAGACAGGCAGACCGACGGAAAATGAGGGACATGGTTTTCCGCCATGTACAGGGTGGCCAACAAAGAATGGGACGTACTGTATCTGATAACCTATCCATCGTAAAGGCTTGCGGCAAAAAAGATCTCACTAAGACGGCCAAGAGAAAAACCTAGAAAATATTTTCAATTTTTCGAAATGGCAACTAAGTGGCTGCAATCTTCAATCTAAGAAAGTGATGTTTCCGTGAATTTTGGATTAACCTAACAAAAAAATACCTGATCCTCAAAGTCGATATGATGTTGACTTTTATTGTTTGACATTTTTTGCTGTTTCTCTAAAAATAAGGTGGTGGGGGGTATCCAAAGGTTTCCGTAAAAACACCCTGTATCCTCGAAACGGCTGAGCTGATTTTAACAAACTAAGGCTAGTTGGAAAGCGCTATTCTTGGGCTACAAACTTTGTAATATCTTTTTCGACGTTTAGACAAAAATGGTTAACTTTCTAAAAAAAATCAAATGCATTGGTACAATTTTTTTTTCATGAAAAACTGGCTAAATGATGTCTTAACAAGGTCGCGAAATAGCATCTTGATATCTTGTTCCTAACCTAAAATTTAGGCCAAAAAAAATGTTGGGCATATCACGAACAACGGTTCAAAATATTTTGAAGGGCCATAGGTAGGTTCTAATGGACATCAAAATACAGGGTGTTCCTTAATGATCTGCGAATATTCAATGGTGTGAATCTACCTGAAAAATTAATGTTAGATTGCTTTAAAAACTATGGTCCAAAAATGTTTTCTTACAAATGCTCGGGGAGTTGAAGTTTTAGGAAAAAAATGGAAATTAATTAATATTTTCAGAACCGTTTCAGATATTTCACTGAGATTTAGTACTTAGCGAAAGTTAATAAAGTTGCATATTTTTCAATGCAAAAATAATGTTTAGCTTCAACAGTGGCGTGCGTTCGGGTATTGACTTCCATATTTTTTAAGAAAAAATGGTACGCCAATGGTTTTTCGCCAAATAAAACTTACTTTTGAATTCTTCGTTCAATTTAAAACAAATGATCTTTCTTGAGTCGCTTTCCTTCGATACGCCACTTTTGAGTAAAAAATTAAAAACCGTTTTATTGTCTAACTTGCAAAATTATTAATAATTTAATTGGAAAAACTAAACACATTAGGCGTAATGAACAACAATAACTGAGAACATAAACATAACATTAAAAAGAACGAAATGATTACAAAATTGTTGAAAATGGTCCCCTTCACTTAGTATACATGCTTCCGCCCTCCTTCACATGGAGTTGCGCACTCGTTGAAATATCCCTGGAGTGTTTTTTATTCTATCACAAGCTGCAACTATCCTTTCTCTTAATTCCTCTACAATGTTAATGGGCCTTGTGTACACTAGTGTCTTAAGATAGCCCCACAAAAAGAAATCTAAACTGTTGAGGTCCGAGGACCTTGGTGGCCATTCTTGGGGCCCACCGCGGCCAATCCAACGATTTGGATAAACAGTTTGTAAATAATTACGAACTGCTACACTGAAATGCGCTAGTGCACCATCATGCATGTACCACATATTGTTTCCTATTACTAACGGAACATCATCAAGCAGCAAAGGCAACTGTTGTTGAAGAAAATTGAGGTAAGTCTGTCCGTCAAGTCGTCCCGGCAAGAAGGATGGGCCAATAAAGTGGTTACCAATAATTCCTGCCCATACGTTAACCGAAAATTGGTGTTGCAAATGGAGTTCGGTTACGACATAGGGATTTTCTTCTGCCCACAAATGATTATTGTGGAAATTCTGTATGGCATTTCGAGAAAAATTAGCTTCGTCCGTGAACAGAATCATTGATTCAAATTGCGGTTTCTGTGTAATTTTTTGACAAAAGGAAAAGAAAATCAATGGGAAGTAACGCTTGTACTCTTAAAATATGGTAAGGATATAACAAAAAATCCACTAAAATTCTCCAAACAATTTGATGGCAAATATTTAAGTGTCTAGCAATCTTCCTCGTACTCGTTTCACGACGTTCTTCGACTTCGTGCAGAACTGCTTGCTCATTTTCAGGTGTTCTCACACTTAGAGATCTACCTTCAGATGTTCCTTTTCGGACAGAACTAGTTTCAACAAGACGACGTTGAATATTAGAAAAGGTTCGACTATCTGGCAAAGCACGATCGCGATATCTCTGGTGATGAATCCGTCTGGCTGGCTCACCATTACCGTCGGTAAGGCCATATACGTAATGCATTTCCGCCATTTCTGCATTTGAATAATTCACCATTATTAACAAGATTGTAAAAACTAAATAATGTAAAAGATGTCACAGAGAACAGACTTGTCAGATGTCAAAAGCCAGTGACATATTCCAGAGCAACTAGATATTTATTGCTAAATTGCAGTCTTCAATTATTACTTTAAATTTTTCGGACAATAGACCGGTTTTTATTTTTTTACTCAAAAATGGCGCATCGAAGGAAAGCAACTCAAGAAAGATCATTTATTTTAAATTGAATGGGAAAATCAAAACTAATTTTTATTTGGCAAAAAACCATTGGCGTACAATTTTTTTCTTAAAAAATATCGAAGTCAATACCCGTACGTACGCCACTGTTAAAGATACAAATTATCTTTTCATTGAAAAATATGTAACTTTATTAACTTTCACTACGTACTAAATATCAGTGAAATATCTGAAGCGGTTCTGAAAATATTAATTAATTTCCATTTTTTTCCTAAAACTTCAACACCCCGAGTTTTTGTAAGAAAACATTTTTGGACCATAGTTTATAAAGCAAACTAACATTAATTTTTCATGTAGATTCACACCCTTAAATATTCGCATATCTTTAAGGAACACCCTGTATACAGGGTTATCCAAATTAAGTGTCCACCATTAGTAACTTTGTTATTAGTGAAAATACAAAGTTGTTTGAATTAGCAAACTAGTAGCATTTTTAACGCTGGTAAAAATGAGAAATAAAAAAAAACAATTGAGAGTCGTTATTTTGATTTTTGTCAGTAAAATAACATTTTTTTAAATGGAAACCCCTGTATATTATATTTTTTTCTGTTAAAGCATCAAATTATAAACAAAAAAGTTCATAATGACTTTTCCGCTAAAGTCAAAAATAAAGTCAAAATAACGATAAATATTTTTAATTATTTGCAGTATTATAATATTAAGAGGGCTATGAAAACAACATGGCGTTCGCGATTTGACAGCATTAAGATAAGCGACAAATTGTTAAAATGGACATACTCGCAACTAGAAGGCTTTGGAAAACAATGATAAAATCAAATAATGTCAAACATTAGTGTAAATACTTGTTTATAAGCTTTATTGTGTCATTAATTTAAAGAAAAATGTTCTCCCATGAAGAAAAGTGTGATATGTTAGAATGCTATTTAGTGTACAGAAAATCCTCCTTGAGAGCAAGAGAATACTACAGTGAATTATATCCCGCTCGCATTCAACCGTATGAACGATATTTTCTGAGACTTTATCGAAAATTTAGGGCCACGAAAATGTTTTTGCTAAAACAAGGGCAAAAAAAGAATTCATAATAAGCGAGGCCACGGAAATTGCAGTTATTGGATATTTTGAAGCTTATCGTGAGAATTCAATAGCAGATATTCTCAAGGACTCTAATTTCAGTTATGGTACTGTTCAAAGGATTTTAAAAAAATACAAATTTATTCCGTATAAGTACTGACCAGTTCAAACGCTTTTGGCAGGGGATCCAGAGAGAAGACTTGTTTTTTGCCATTGGTATCTTAGCTTCTGTCGCCAAAATGTAAATAACTTTCGT